CCCCATCAGGCTGTTGTGGGGGCTGGCTTGGTTAGCACCTCCCCTTCCCTTCCAGGAAATTAGTAAATATAGATTCTTGGGTTCTGGGGATTTAGTGAGGAAGAGAAGTATGACAGCAGCCCTGTATTCGCCAGCTGGGTTTGCCATCCTCGTACTTCAGTAGGTTGCATGTGGTTTTCCTACCCCGTCCCCTCCAGTCACATTCCAGAAAGAAAGGACAGTAGTGGAGCTTTGTGGGCTAAAGTGGTGAGGAGAGCGTCATGACAGATTCAGCTTTAGGTCCCCTCCTGGATGAATGCTTCTCGTAGGGAAGAAAGAGACAGCCCGGGTGTGGGAGGAGGGTGAGAGGGGAAGCCACTGGGAGGAAATCCTGAGGCCGTGAGGAGGGGTGGTCCGTGGACGTGCACACGCTGTTCTCCTGCCAGGCACACCCCCCAAGCTGGTCCCTCCCCGTGTCGTCCCTGCTCTTCTTTCACGTCGTGGCCCTTGTTACTCCTTCAGGGAGCTTTCCCTGACCTCCTGACCAGGTCACATCCCTGCGCTATATCCCTTTTCTAAGCTCTTCCCAGTCATTCTTCTGTGACATTATTTGATGAGTACCAGGCCCACTTTTTAATTCCCATAAGAACAAGGATTGTGTCTGTTCTGCACTCCCTGCCTTCCTACAGTACATGGGACATAGAAGGAGTTTCATAAATACTCATTAGGTAAATGTATAAATTTTGGTTTTCAGTGACGTAATAGCCTCAGTAGGGGAGAAGATTTGTATTGGAGATTGCCAGTCCCATTAAGTGCCAAGCACTATATTAACTCAATCTTAAAACAACCCTGTGAAATCAAGCGTATTATTCCTTTCATTTTAAAGATGGAGAACCCAAACTCCAGAGATGTTAACTGTCTTTTCCTGTTGGCACAGCTAAGTGACAACAGGGGTTCTTGAGCCTGGCAGCCTGGCTTCGGAGCTCCCAGACAGAACCATACAGCTACTTTATGCTGTAGGGGATAAAGTCAGGTACATGAGTCAAGTCCGGATAGATTTCTCCTTGAAAATTATGGACTTTCTCCTTCCTCCTTTTCTTTATTACTAAACCTTAACTGTCATCACTTCGCAAGAAAAGGTGAGCGGAAGAGAATGACTTTAGGTGTCACATCTTACATTGAGGTTGACTCAACATTCTGCCAAAATGATTTGGACAAATTTACCCAGAGAGCAAACTGGACATTTCAAATGCTAATTCCCAGAAAATCCTAGACTGCTTCTTTTGACCACCTTTGAAGAACTAGCATATACTTTGTCAAAGTATGGCAGAGTTGCTTTAAATAAAGGAAGGTGATTGGACTAAGTTTGGCAATATTTGAAACTATTGGCTTCTACACCTTATTCATAAAGCACGTCTAGCCTTTGATCATCAGTAGTTGTTGAATCATAAAGTTCCTGGAAGAAAGTCTTAAATTTCATCAAGGAAGCCAGGAAATCCTGAGTATCCCCAAGAATAATAGTAGTTACTATAATAACATAATAATTACCAGAAAATTAACAAAGACTGGTATATGACACCGTGAAAAAAAAAAAAAAGACCCTACTAATAGGAAGCCTGAATCAGTCACTTATTCCAGCTGCCTGCTTTTAAAAAATAATCTCAGGACAGGGTGGCGCCTGTGGCTCAAAAGAGTAAGGTGCCATCCCCATATACCAGAGGTGGCGGGTTCAAACCCAGCCCTGGCCAAAACTGCAAAAAATAAAATTATAATAATCATCTCAGGACAGTATTATTTCTAGATCTCTAGGTAGAAGAGTGTGTTACAGTAATAAAGAAGATGCTAGCTAATGCTTATATACTGATATTATTTGCCAGGCACTGTTCTAATGACTGTGTGGGTCACTATGAAAGTTTTGAGACAAGGCTGTGTTATGGTCCATTATTTCATTGTCCTTTCCGCTGCACCTGTGCAGGCTTCAGCTTGCTCAGCTTACTGCTGTGCCCAATTGGTCTTCACATGTTTCCTTCTGGATGTTATGTTTCTTGATTTTCATCTATCTTTAAACGTTCATAGTGGCCCATGTGTGCATAATATGTTTAGTCTGGATGGTAACCCTTTGAGACACTGTTTTTATGCCCATTTTACAGATGAGGAAACTGAGCACTGCCAAAGACGCATGGCTAGTAAATAAAGGGAACCGTCTTCAGCCCCTAGCTGGGTTTGCTTATACAGTGTCCCTGGGTAGCCAGTTACTCAGTTTTGTCCCCTTTGTCTTGGCGCTCATTGAAAGCTTAACTTGTGTTTAAGCCATCAATGTTTATTAAGAGCCTGCCATGCTCAGCCTGTCTGAGAAAAACTGTATCTAACAGATACTGTTGCACTCTATAAACTTAATTTTCAAAAGAACCACTATTCAAAGAACTAAAAGGGAGGCTAAATAAAAAGAATTAAACTCTCCATAGGACAAATGAATTTTTCTGTATTCGTTGCAAACAGTTCTCAGTCATCATGGAATTTTACGAAGTATGGTCTCCTCCAGGCCAATGTCTTCATGTGCAAATAGTACCACTTTTTTCACTTCCCACACTTCAGCTTTCTTCTTTCAGTGTTTTGGAAAGTCCACAAAACCCAGGGGCCTCCCAGCCTGTTGCCCTGTGGTCTATGTAAAAACCAGATGATGCCACGCTGACTTGGTCTTTCAAATGGATCAAACAGCGTATTAGTCACTGGCACATTTTTCACCTCCTTTGCCTCAGATAAACCCAGTTCCTCATTCTTGCCACTCTTCAATCATGAAATAATCGAATGAAAAATAAGTATTTTTTGAGGGCACCTCCCACCTTTGTCCTTCAGTGCCAGTGACTAATTCCCTCACAGTGGTAACACTGAAGGGTCGAAATATCTGAAGAGACTGGGCGTCACTCACAGAATTCCTTCTGCTGAGCTGTTGAAGTGGAAAGTTTACCTGATCTCACCGAGTGCAGCATCCCCTCACGCCCCACCTGTCGCATTCCTGTGCTTATTGTCACTTAACAGAGTTTAATTACACAGCTTATTTCTGCTCTGTCACTGTTGATGTGCTGCTGAAGAAGCCCCTGTGGGATATGTTATCATAGCAAAGACTGATATCCGATGTCAACCCCAGGACGCAGAGTTGGCATCCGCACTCTAGGTGGTATCTAAGGACAGCATCCAGCCAACACTGGAGCAAATATTGAACTTTTCTGTCCTACACTTCAGGAAAGAGGCTTTCTGCCTGTTACAAAAGACAAAGTACTAAATTCATAATTAACTTTATACCCAGAGAAGTATTCTTTAAGTGTTGTACCCATTTCAGTAATTCCTTATTTGTGATTTGAGGTGGGCAAAAATCAAATTTAATCCTAATCTCTCTTTGGGATTAGCTTACTGTGCAAGGACTGGAGGCCACTCCTGCTGGTGGTCCTGCTCCTTCCTGCTGCTTGCGAGGCAAAGGGGGCGACAGGGTGCAGGAGCAGCCGGAGGCAGGAGTTCTGAGCCTCGGTTTAGGCATCAAGGCCCTAAGGTTCCCAGCTGAGCTACGCAGGTGATTGGAGGGGAATTAGTTCTTCATTCAGGAGTGAAACTTCTGTCTCCTCAAACTCTCTGGGAATAATCCTAGATCTGATAGGCTTCTCAACTCTCACAGCAAAATATTGCATTGGTAAAAAATCCATACTAAGAAAATCCTATCAAAACCTTGCTTTGGCGATGATGTTTATAGTAAAAGAAGGCTGGTTTAAAAGGATGATTCTCTTTCCAGGAAGTTTTATCAGCAGGTTTAGGGTCCTGCTCAAGTTTCTATCAGAAAGACTTCCATCAAAGAGTCACCCCTACAAGCGATTCCCACCTATTTGGGCAGATTTGTGTGTTTCTAACGATCGTATATCTGGGAGATCCTGGATTTACGTCATGCATTTCTTCAAAAAGTACAATATGAGCTGAAGAGACAGGGTGACCAACTCACCTAGGTTTGGCTTTGAAATTCCTGTGAAAAAACCCCTTAGTTCCAGGCAAATGAGGATGGTGGGTTAGCTTTTGAGGAGCCACAGTGCATTTCCAACTATGTGGCTGAATTTATCATAGCATTCCCACTTAGTTGGATACAGGAGAGTTAAAATAAGGCCAGTGGTCTTTTCTGTTCGTGTGATTTTAGTCTTAGGGATTTCTCAAGTAAGAAATTTGATCAACTACAGGGGCCAGGTAACCAACTAGAGAAGAAAGAGTATCCAAGTTCTGCTTAAAATGTCGTCATCTCCATGGTATTTCCTTTGTATTGCTGTTGTCATCATTCTAAAGATATACCAATAAAAAGAGATAAATTACCTTAAATAGAAAAATCTGATTTTATAAAACAAGAGTGAAATGGGTGAAATCTAAAGATTTGCACTTTTTTGAATTTAAGAAACTTCCTATGATCCGAGCATATGTAATTCAATTGTCAGAACTCATGACAGAGAGGGCCCCTGAAGGATCATCTGTCCCACCAGTAATGGCAGTGTCCATAGCCAAACTTCAGAGCCAGGTCCCTGGAAAAGACATGGCAGAGAGTCAGCATGAGCTGTTTCTGGCCACCTCCCTCTTGCCTTGATTTCCATCAATCACCAGCTCCCTTCTCACCAATCATTTGCCCAGCTTTTGTGACCAGAAAAGGTGCAAAGGAAAATATGTTCTTGACTAATAAGAAGGGGAGGTTTCGTGGCAACACGTCCTCCACGATGTGCTGTTCCAGCGTGGATAATACAGACTGTATTTTAAATAGCCTGCTTCCTGGAGGGTCTTCCTGTGACACAGAACAACCACCATTAACTTTTTAATTTATTTCCATCCTGTCATTGGCTCATCACATACTTTTAAAGATAGGGCTGTGATCACATATAGTATAATAGGGGTAGGTAATTTTATATCATACTTTTTATATTTACTGATTTATCATAAACATTTTTCAGTGTTGCTCTCTGGTCAGATGTGCTAACTTTTGAAATGTGCTTCTTGTATAGATCTGCAACTATGTGGGACCAGCAAAGGTTATTGTTCAGTTGGTCACCAATGGAAAAAATACCCACCTGCATGCCCACAGCCTGGTGGGAAAACACTGTGAGGATGGGATCTGCACGGTAACTGCTGGACCCAAGGACATGGTGGTCGGGTAAGTGAGGGTATGTGATGCTGTGGAAGCAAGGGATAGATAGAACATGGGTCGGAGGGCCTTGGGATGAACAGGGCCTTTTCATTAGGGACCTTTCTGAAACCCTCATCTGGCCTCCAAAATAAGACATGAAAACGCGTGTTCTCACTTGGACTCGAGGCAGTAAAGGACGGCATGTCTGGATCTGTCTGAGACAGCGCAGTGTGCAGCTGGCCTATTTATTTTTAGCACCCTTTGCCACTCTCAAAGGTGGCCCAGTTTGGATGATCACTTACACATGGTCACTTGACCTAGGAGTCGTTTGTGCCACTTTCAATAATATTGTACTTCTCCTGGTAACAAAGATAAGGACAAATTAGAAGAAACCTAACTATAGCAGAAATCAACACTTTATGGATGGATTTAAATTCGTAATGGATTTATAGTGTGAACATTGAAAGCATGAAGTGGATAAATAAATATTGCTTCAGCTCTGAGCTTAGAAAGTGTGCCCAGATAAGAAGCCAAGGAATGCACATTTATTTTGGCATTCATTAGACTGAAATGTAAATACACCACGACATAGTCATTTAAGGGCTGGTCAGATAAAACAAGGAATTTTTAATGAATGAAGTTTTATAGAAATAATTTCTATCCCAAAAATTAAGAATTCTTTTCAATAAGACAGATAAGCTAAGGAACGTGTTTTATTTATGTCACCAAAACACTAAAATAGCGCATAGCATAGTGATTTAACATCCAATGTAAGCTGATAATAATAATCCTGGAAATAGTTACAAATGGTTATGTTACTTTGGGACACCTTAAAAACAGAAGAAATAAAATTGTTTTAATTAATTTTGTTTGATTTTTAAAAATATTTTTCAGGGTATTCTAATCCTGCTTTAAATAGTTCATGCTAAAATCCCAATTAACCTGGGCTTTTCACTCAAAAGAAGGAATTGTACCTGTACATCAACTATCATTAAGCTGATGGTTGCATTTCAGGCTTTGAATCCTGATCAAGTTTCAAGTTGGTTGTTATGGGGGAGATTGAGCTTTCATCTTCTTAGGTATTTCTTTGTTTGACTGTAAAAATATTTAAGTGTGAAAAACCTAGACAGAGAACTTTCTTTTAAGTTTCTAAAATCTGATGCTTTTGATGTTGGAAAAAGATTTCTAGATGGAAGGGAGACACTTAAATTGATTTGAAAAATTTGATTGTGCTTTATATGAAGTTGTTTCAGCATCCTCTTGAAAGATTGGCCTGTTTCCTGTTGTATGTCACAGTTGGTTTCTCTCGCATTTTGGAATATCCTTCCGGTTCCTAGCTGGCCCACGAGAGCTTTGAAACACAGGGCTGTTCTCACAGTTTTAGAGTAATTGATCACATCGTGTTTCTGCAGATTTGCTCCAATGGGCTCCTGTCCGTTTGAGTGTTTATTTCCTTTGGTGTTATTTAATCCGTGTGATAATCATATACTTTATAGATGACATTTTCTACTAACAATATTTGTTTTAATAAAACTCTCCGTATGTTTCTGTAATTTGGGTTTAGTTTAGTAGTCTTTCAGGATTTTAGAAAGAACTAATGGTTATTTAGAAAACAAATGGTTATTTGTTTTAGGACCTAGAGCAGGAATAGAAGTAAATCCCCTGTCTCCCCTTCCTTTACTCTCTTGCAGTGCAATGGGATGTGGGGCTTAGACATTGGCAGAACTCATCATTCATTCAATTCATTTACCAAACGTTTTGAGCATAGCAGCTCCTAAGTTTGATAATTGTGATGTCTATTTGGTTGTAGCACTGTGAGATCTTCTATCCTTATACAATTTCACTGGGGAATTTAATCGAGAAGATGCCACTTGACAGTTACAATTGACTCAGTAATCTCTCCAGTTCAGAGCGTTCTCTGAAACATTGGTACTTCCTCTCTGATTTTTAGCTGAGAGATTTTGCTTGCACTATTTTCTGCATCATTTGTTTGTCTCTTTGTACATGTTCTTTTTAAGTTTCCAAGGTCAGAAACCTATTGAGAAAGAACATCATGCTAGCAGTCTGGAAACCCGAATTCTATTTTTAATTCTGTCACTCTCCATAGAGTAGTTCTGGGGCAAGTTACACGACTTCTTGAGGACCATAATTTCTTTCCTTATAAATAAAACAAGAGGGTTGAACTACAGAATCTATCTTCAGCCCCTTTACATCTGTAAAATTCTAGACTGAACTAACATTAGCTAGTATTGTGAAATGGCACGAACAAACTTGCACCATATGTATTTATGGTATGACATTGATTATTATTTAGTTCTGACTTGTAGGCAAGGATATCACACACAGAGATTTAGGAAG